ATCTTTTGTGTTTTAAAATATGTCTATATTGACCTTACTCTTAAAGGCCATCTCTGATCCCCTGATGGTCAGTGAATTCTGGGCAACTCAACTAAATGCATAAGCCAAGGGAAAAACTTGTTCAATCCATTAGGCCAAGTTGAATCCATGAACACATTCAGTGACTGACAGGAGTCCTAAACCCCCAGGCCACAGACCAGTAGGGCTCCATAGCTGTTAGGAACTGGGCCACACAGCAAGAGGTGAATGGTGGGCGAGTGGGCATCACCACCTGAGCTCTGCCTCCTGTCAGATCAGTGGGGTATTAGATTCTCATGGGAGCGCAAACCCCATGTGAGCTGCAAACATGAAGGATCTAGGTTGTGTGCTCCTTATGAGAATCTGACTAATGCCTGATGATCTGAGGTAGACAAGTTTCATCCTAAAACTATCCCTCATCCTCCCTGCCATCCATGGAAAAATTTGTCTTCCACAAAAACAGACCCTTGGTGCCAAAAAGGTTAAGGACCACTGGTGTAAGTTAATCACCTACTTGAGTTTGTGGAGAAAGCTTCTCCTGGAGACCAGCCGCCAACCAGTGTTGCCAGAATGGAAAGAAGTCAAGCTGTGGTTTTTCCTGATCCTCTTTGACATTCACCAGTATTCAGTGAGGAGGACCAAGGCAGAGAGGGGTGCAGAGTTGACCAAGACAGCAAGTAACTCACCTCTTACACTACAGATTTTGAGTGATGCTGGTTGGAATTATCCAAGGAGTTTCTAATGTGACTCTGGGTTCAAGAACTTCACAAATAGAGTGTAGAGAAGTTTGTGGGGTGTTTTTCATGAAGGAAGGGGGATAATAAGGATGGTGGTCTTCCCTGTTCTACGTGCCAAAGCAAATGAGGTATAAAACATCAGATTCAGCACCAAACTGAGGCCTTTATTACTGATAAAGCTGGATTGGCGGGAAACAGTACAAAAGACAAATGGACCTGCCACCCCTCCCCATCCTCAGCTAGATCTTGGGACAGCCCAGCTAGGGAAAGTTCCAGTCTGCAAAGCTGATCTTTCCTGGGTCACTGCCTCCAGCCATTTGAAAGGAGGAGAAAGGCTGGGAAAGCAAGTCCCCACTCACAGAATCTTTGTTAGATTAGCTCCATACCACTGAGAAACCTGGCTGTGGCTCCCCAGATGGTCACCTCTACCTCCATGGGAAGAAGTAGCATTTTGGCAAGAGGAATGGAGACCCACGGGAAGGAACGGAGGGGTGACTCAGAGGCAGTGGGGGCTCTGGAGATGCCTTGCCACGGCTCCTGACTGCAGAGCAGAAGGACAAGCCTGGCAGTCATTCTAATCCAGGACACCACCTTCCCATCTCCCGCACCTTGTAGAGATGCGTGTGCCTGATGAGACTGTCTTACTGCTGCCTTGTCCTTTGTGTTCACTTCCAGCTTCCATCTCCGCTGCCGAGACCTCCACACCAGGTAGAACACTGTCTGCTGTTCTGTCAGTGCCTCTTCTTGGAGTTCTGTTTATCAACATGGAATTCAAAACTTTTGTCCCCAACATAGCCTCTGTAAAAACAGAAACCCAGCAGTCGCCTCCACTAGTATATGTCTCTTCTTCCTTTTATCTCTAGAGATCTCTTCAACCTCAGCAGAAGGGACCTCTCCATCTGGTAAGGTCTCTCTCATGGTACTGTTTAAGTTAGTGAAACTAGCTTCTTGTATGTCATGTTCTATTCCGAAAATGAGCCTCAGTAATGATCATTTTTACTGCAAAGTTAACCTCATTGAAAAGACACAGGTGGCCTTTTCCACTCGTGTTTGTTTCCTGCTCTCTTTGTTAATGCACAGATGCATCTTCAACTTCAGCAGAAGTGGACACACCCTCTGGTAATGTTTTCTGCCTGCCCCATTTCTAAAGTTCAATTATGATCAACTTTTTTTCTCTTTCTCTGTGGCAAATGAGCATATATAGGTACTGACTATTCTGTCTATGGTATGAGCCTCAGTGTAAACAGAAACACCAGCATCCTTTTCACAGAAACTGAGGGTCATGTTCTCTTCATTCATCCATAGACACAGAAGGGGCCCCTCCACCAGGGCACACCTTCTGCTTGCTGCACTGGTCTTGATCAGATGTGCCCATGGGAGGCCAGGGCTGGGGGTCTACCCTCTCCTGCTTGGCCATGTGTGTCAGGTTTCAGGTGATGCTCTGACCCAGCCAGCACACCTGAACACACAGGTGAAAACACTGGGTTGTGATAGGGTTAGTTCTATCCATCTGCTCTTCTGTTTTCCACTGTGTAGTTTGTCAAACAAAAACATTCCTCTGCATTTGCGGGTGTGACTTCCACTGCAGCTGAAGTATCTTCTTCACCCGGTATGCTCCCTGCTCCTCGCAGCAGCCCTGATGAGTGACTTTCTGAGAATGCTCAGCCCAGCAAGAGTTTGCACACCCAGAATAAACACTTCTGTTTCCCCAGGTGAGGTCAGGGGAGAAGACAAGAGAGGTCGGGGGAGAAGAGAACAGAAATCAGAGGAGAAGAGAGGAGAAGTCAGGGGAGAAGCGAGGAGAAGTCAGCAGAGTCCACTCAACTCCCCAGAGGATTCCAGGACACTCCTCTATTGCTAGTCATGAAACTGAATGCAGTGTAGGTGGATGCTGGGGAGAGGATAAATAGGATAAAATAGCTTAAAATGTCAAGACTTTAGAGATGGTCTGGAGTAGAGATTCCCAAATGTGCATACGTGTGTGAGCCTTATATGGAACTTGTGAAATGCAAATTCAGTGGCTCCAGGTGGAGATTTTCTAAGGCTCCCAGGCGATGCCACTGCTGCTGGTCATGGACCTGGTTGAGGGAGTAAGATGTTGAACCACCACCCTCATTTTGGAGGAAAATGAGGCCTAAAGAAGGAAGAGATCTGCCTAAAGTCACAGAGCTAGGGCAAGGCGGAGCCAGGTGTCCTGACTCCTGTCCAAAGTCCTTTCTGCTCTTATGCTCTGCTGATGAATCCATCTCTGTGATTCTCCCAAATCCCTATGATATTGACATCTTCAGTAACAAGGCTCTGCTGCTTTCTTCTATTTTATTTATTTTCTTCTTCTTCTTCTTCTTTTTTTTTTTTTTACTTCAAGTCCTGGGTACTTTGAAGACATGGGGGTAAAATTCAGTGAAACCAAAGTTCAGCACTTTCTTTTCACTTACGTTTAAGTATAGCCAGTCGGCTGGCCGGCCTTCCTGCCTTCCTGCCTTCCTGCCTTCCTTTCTCCCTCCCTCCTTCCCTCCCTTTCTCCTAGTTCTTCTTTCCTTCTTCCCTCCCTCCCTTCCTTCTTTTCTTCCTTCCTTCTGTCCTTCCTTCCTCCCTCTCTCCTTCCCTTTCTTCCTACCTCCATTCCTCATTTCCTCGCTCCCTTCCTTCCCACCCACACCATAACTCTACTTTCGCCAGAAGATTCCATTGCCTGTAATTCTCACTGACTCTTGACATCACATGAGGCAGCCTTTTCTTTGTGGATCTGGTTGATGATAACTGGGTTGGTTTCGTGACAGTTTAGGTGACACTTGCAGGTTTTACATCCTTTGTGAAGGCATGCCAGTGAAATCACTTCCTGTTTGTGAACGGCCACTTGGAGTGGAAGAAAAGGCGTGGTGACCATTAAACCCTTCCCTTCCTTCCCCTTCACCCCTGTTAGCCATAAGGAGCCCGGGTGAAGGCAACATCCACAGCTATGCTCCCCAAAGGCGAAGTGCTTAGAATATGTGCTTTGGGGCCTCATGGGCTTGAGTTGTAGATAACCTGAGCACGCTATACAACCCCTGAGTCTCCATTTCCTCATCTCCAAAATAATGACAATACTTACCTAAAACATTTGTGGTGAGGATTAGAGATGCAAATATCTGATACATGGTAGATGTTCAAAATGAGAGCTGTCAGTCTCCCTCGCAAGATGCCAACTTCTCATACTCAAGTTCATGCCCAAAAGTGTAAATCCACAAGATAAATGCACTGGGTGGATTTGTATTGCATATCACTTATGAAATAGGCTATTTTCATATACTTGTAGTCTACAGTGTACAATTTTAATGAAGCCAAATTTTAATGCTTTCTTTTCAAGAGAATTTTTTTTTTGGCAGCTGCAGATTTAATTTCAACTAAAGTGACACCATCACACCAATGATCATATGCCTGTTGCTAGATTAATGCTTCATTTTATTATTTACACTACCATATTCTTTTGTAAACTCCATTGTTAATTTTTCTACTGGAATTTCCTCTGTATATGTTACTGTGGAATTACATCTCTCAGATAATGGTTTTTCTCTTATCTAAAAATATTTCTGAGGAAACTCACTCGATTTTCTTGGCTTCATTTTCAACCGCTATAAAACTGTTTTCTACAAAATATAATTTTTTAATTCTTTCTTGCAAAATTCAGTATATTTATAAAGCTTCTTTTCTGACCATTTAATGCATTATTTTATATCTGGAAGATAAACAGGAGACAGCACCGCTCAGTACTTTTTTTTTTTTTTTTTTCCTGAGACAGGGCCTTGCTCTGTTCCCACGGCTGGAGTGCAGTGGTGCAATCACAGCTCACTGCAGCCTTGACCGCTGTGCTCAAGTGATCCTCCCACCATCGCCTCCCGCGTAGCTAAGACTGCAGGTGTGCACCACCATGCAGCTAATTTAAAAAACTTTTTATAGATGCCAGATCTCACCATGTCACCCAGGCTGATCTTGAACTCCTGGGCTCAAGTGATTCTCCCACCTCAGCCTCCCAAAGTGCTGGGATTACAGGTGAGCAAGCTGTAATTTAGTACATTTTGGTGGCAAGAAATACATTTTGATGGCAAGAAAATAAAACTTAATGGATAATATTTCTGCATCCAAACCAGAGTAGGAACTTAAACAATGTATTAGTATCTGAAATTAGAGTAAATGTTTGGTTCTTTTTCAGCTTTGTATATAAATATGAATTCACAGTTTTAAAGTTTTTTTTTTTCTTATTTACAGTGAAAATCTCAGTGGATGAAAAGATGGCCCCTGTACTTGGTAATTTATGTTTGTTTCTGAACACTAAAATGATCATAACTCTATTAATACTGTTAGGATTACATTTCTTTTTCATTTAACTTCCTTATTCTTTACAGGAAAATTTTATGAGCTTGTAAGTGTATGTGTGCAGACACAGGTGTGTGTGTGGATACACATGCACTCTGTGGGTTGGGATCCCAAAATTCACTTTCTAAAACCTTACCCAGAAGATATTTACTCTTATTCATAGTTCAAAGAAAGATGGTTATCTTGCTTCCAATATTACAGCAATAAATAAGATGAGGTGAGGGCAACCAGCCTAGACAAGCATGCTGCAGTCACAGAGAAACAGAAGCCCGTGGTGTTTAACATTCACTAAGCATCTTCTATGTGCCAAAGAAAGCAGGAAATTGAAAGATGCAGTCACAACATACCAATATAAAAAACAAATCATTCTACACATGTCTGTGGGCATGACACCATCAACATAATATAGATTTTATTTTTTATTGTTTTTATTTTTAAAATCAACCTTTTTGAAGTATAATTTGTATATATAGTGCATGCATCTATGAGTTTTGTCTAACCATCACAACTGTTCACCACCACCATCAAGATGGACAGCATTTCCATCACCCCAGAAAGTTCCCTCATGCCCTTTCTCAGTAAATCTCTCCCACCTTCCCCAGGCCACCACTGCTGTGCCTTTCATCACTGTAGAATAGGTTTGCTTTTTTTAGAATGTCATATAAGTGGAATCAAATAACATGTGATCTCTTGTTTCTAACTTTCTAACTTAAAATGTTTTTGAGATTAATAAAGGAACAAATGTATTGGTCATTTGTTACTTTTTACTGCTTAGTACTATTCCACTGTGTGCCTTTACCGCGGATGGGCACCTGCATTGTTTCTGGATTTGGGCTACTGTGGATGCTTCTGCTACCTCCAGATCTTTCTGTGGGCATGGACATTTGTTCATCTTGAGTAAATGCCAAGTGGAAGAGCTAGGTTGTATAATATGGTTTTTAGAGTGAATATTTGAGCTCTTCTTCATCCAGAGTAAACGTAATTTCACTGGATACATGTTTGATGAGTCAATGCAGTGCCTGATTTTAGAACAACTGTCTCCTAAAGATTTGAAAGTGTTTTCTGGTTTTCGTTTTGCCTGTTTGCTTTGTTTTTTGGGGTGTTTTAATTTTTGTTTACAGATGAAGTTCTTAAGTACCTGGAAAACTAGGCCTGCCCACAGGGCCATTCCTGAGGGCTTCAGATAATGAAGGCTTTACCGTATGAGAGAAAGTGTGTGTGTGTGGTGTGCGTGTGCGTGTGTGTGCGCACTCGCGTGCACGCGCACACGTGTGTGCACATGTGTGTGTGCAACAAAACCAGAAACAGTTCGTATTGCAAATAGCAGTGGCACCCTGAGGGGTGTGTGTGTGTGTGTGTGTGTGTGTGTTAGAGAACAACAAAAGCGGAAACAGTTTGTACTGCATATAGCAAGTGGCACCCTGCGACTACATCCAGGATGGAAACCTGACCACCTGACCGTTTCTCTCGCCACGCAGAGCCGCCCCTGCGCCTGGTGGGCACGCGGAGCCGCTGCGAGGGCCGGGTGGAGCTGCAGCACCAGGGCGTGTGGGGCACGGTGTGCGACGACCACTGGAACATCAGGAACGCCCGCGTGGTGTGCCGCCTCCTGGGCTGCGGCCGCGCTCTGGGTGCCCCGGGCCGCGGTCGCTTCGGCCGGGGCACCGGGCCCATCCTGCTGGACGACGTGCGCTGCGCCGGCAACGAGGATGCGCTGGAGCGCTGCGCCCACTCGGGCTGGGGCCGGCACAACTGCCAGCACCGCGAGGACGCGGGCGTGGTGTGCGCAGGTACCACGACCCCTGCCCACCCTGCCTTTTGTCTCCTCACATTCCTAGAGTCAAAGTTCACCATCCTGGGGAAGTCAAGTGTGGCCGGGGTCCCAGCTCCTAGGCTACTGATGGCATGGTGGTTGTGTACCCTGGGTGGTAAACATTTTAATCATCCAGGCTTAGGGACGAGCGCGCTCATCACTTTTGTGATGCCTGTTCAACGTAGTATTGGTTCTGAAATACAGCTAAACGATGATGGGTCAAAGGAAGGAGTGGCGGCCCGTGTAACAAAATGACTAAGGCCGTCGAACTGGCTGCTGTTTGGCTACAGTTTGTCCAGTCCCTCTTTCCATCTCAGAGGAGGGCTTCAAGAGCACAGTTCTGGGCGGACACTCCTCCCCTGGACCCAACCCTCAGAAGTCAGAGACACCGCGTGGGCGTCCCGAGCTCCTCTCATGTCCCTTTCGTCCAAGATTTGGCCTATACCTTTCCTGGAATGCGTTTTATCACCCACCTTCTGCCTGGCCATTCTGACTTTCAGAGGTTGACTTTCCTCTGTATGGAGCAGTGCTTCCTTCCATGTGTCCTAAACTTACTCTAAATTTCAAGGAGTTATAGAATTCTAAGATTTGAAACACAAGTATGAGCTCACCTGGTCTATTCCGTTCTTAGTTTTTTACAGGTAAATCAAAGGAAGTGTAACCATTGCTTTTGGCTTTGCAGGTGTTGCCTTGTTTTGCATAGACAGAGGACCCAAATAGAAAAGCTGTCAGAGCGCCCTGAAGGCAGACACGAATCACACCAAGCCAAGGAGTATGAGTGTGTGCTAGGGTCATGGGGCCCTCACCTTCCAGATCCTTGTTCTGATCATGTCAGTTCCTAGTTCCAGTTATTCCTGATGCTGTCAGGGGGCTGATTCTAAATGACAATCCATTTTCCATTCTTGGATTGTATGCCAAATGGGTCCTTTGGACATTCACTGAGGAGTTCAGTGAACCTGGCTGGCCGTGCTTCCGGGGCTGGGTGTTGGCCCTGGGTACTGTCCAGGCTTGCTTCAGAGCTATAGAAGCATTTGATATCTGCGAATTACATTTTTTCCCAGCTTGAGGCCCCAAGCATGTCGTGTGCTTGGGAAAGGACACCAATCAGTGTTCATACACAGGATAGCGTTATGACCTTAGAAACCATGTGTCTACTATTCTCTCACTCCAATAAATCTTGGAATTGACGATACGTGTATTCTCAACTCTACTTCATAAACGCTGGGCTCCAGCTCCATCAGGAAGCTCTAGGTCCTCCTTTCCTTTGCATGACCTGGAATATTCTCCTGCCACTGTACCCCAGCTTTAGTAGTGAAATCAAATGAGCCCATTCCCCTACACTTCATGTCTACTACCAGCTACATCCTCCTCTTGCAGTGTTCCAACACCGTTGACATTTGTTTTTATCCTTCTTCTCTTACCAGGTCCAGCTGACTCTCTTGTGCCTAAGGACAATGGTAAAGTCTTCTCCTCTCTAGGATCTGAGGCTAAGGATGCTGATGGGGGAGCTAAGAGAGAAGCCTAGTAAGGGAGAAAGAACAGGCTGTGAGGGAGACCCGCTTCTGTGTTCCCACTGAGGTCTCTGGATTTCCACCCACTCTCTGGGTTTTAGGAGGTTGGGAAGAAGCCCCTTTGCACCCAGGCTTCTTTTCTCCAACTTACCTCTATATGAGGACCCAGATGGTGTTCAGGCACAGAGTTCTCAACATGAGAAATGAGCCATGCATGGAACATGGGCTATGGTTAGGATTCCCCATGGGTGTGGCATGACCTCAAAGCCTTCTTGGAAAAAGATAGGTATAAGTAAAGTTAATGAAAGTTAAGTCAAGGGTTGGGTGTGAGGAGAGCTGAGCCAGCCCCAGCTTATGGTAGTTTTATAAAGTAAAGGTATACCCACACCCATGAACTACATGGTCAGTGTACCAGTTTCTCTTTGTGAGGGTTTCTCCATCTTCCCCTCCTGCAGCCCAGCTATCCTGCTTGCCGCACCTCTTCCAAGCTGTCATTGACCGAGGCTACCTCCGGAGGCTGGGCTACTCCTCCTGGGACATCCACTTAAACGATGAGCTATGTCGTCCCCAAGTCACTGGGCGTTACCTGATCTTCAATATTCCCTATGGCCACTGTGGCACCATCCAGCAGGTAGGACACTTCCCAGGTGGTACTACCCTTCTGTGGATTATGACAGGGTGAAAAGTTTGGGAAATTCAACCACCTATTTAAAAACTATGTAAGGACAGAAGGAAAGTGCAAGCCATAACTTCATGTCTGAGTTTGGTAAGATAGAGAGTAGCACATTAGTTTGTGTGAAGCTTTTTCCCCTTTGGGGAATCTGGGATACACAATAACAAGTGTTGAGTGCTAATGGGTGGATGGATGTGTGGATGGATGGATGGATGGATGGATGGATGGATGGATGGATGGATGATATATTCTTTTCACTCTAGAGGCAATGTATTTTCCACACATGGCTCTTGATTGAGCATTAGTGCACACCTACTATGTGCAAACTATGGTGCCAGGCATGTGAGAAGACAGATTGTCCACTTGCCCATCTGACTGCTAGGTTTCTAAGTAGTTAAGTACATTCCATGATCAAGAAAGCAAACCTTTAGGACATTTATGAATAATGACATATATATGTTTATTTAATTTTCCTTGACCACTGGTTTATTTCACAAAACAATGGCATTGAAGTTAAGGAAACAAGTACACGAGAGACAGGGAGAGTGTATAACCACAGATTTTTTTTTTTTTTTTTTTTTAGACAGAGTTTCGCTCTTGTTACCCAGGCTGGAGTGCAATGGCACGATCTCGGCTCACTGCAACCTCCGCCTCCTGGATTCAAGCAATTCTCCTGCCTCAGCCTTCTGGGTAGCTGGGAGTACAGGCATGTGCCACCACGCCCAGCTAATTTTTGTATTTTTAGTAGAGTCAGGGTTTCACCACGTTGACCAGGATGGTCTCAATCTCTTGACCTCGTGATCCACCAGCCTCAGCCTCCCAAAGTGCTGGGATTACAGGTGTAAGCCACCGCACCCAGCCAACCATGGAATTTTTTTTTTCCCTCAGTATTTAAGCAGGGTAACCTGTTCCCAAGCAAGATCTCCATATGGTTCCTCTATTCTTTTACATCCCCTGATTAGACACAAACATGAGTCCAGGAAACCCTTGACATTGTTAGAGTTTGAATTCATTCACATTTTGTCTATTTCATTGTGCAGATCATAGTCATTCTTATTCTTTTTGCTTTGAAAATTCTACTTTTTACCTCAGAGGTTTCTGCCCCGGGATCTATACCCTCTGTGTCTGTGAAGTGGGCACCCCCAGGGAAGCTTCTGGGCCATCAGGGAAGACCCTGCACATGTTTTCTCTGTCCTTGCTGGCCCAGCTTCCCCTGAAAACCCCATGAGCTGACCAGGGTGCTGGGGCCAGAGGTCAGTAGGGCCAGGGAGCACTGAGAAGAAAAACACTGCTGCAGAGAGGTCCTGTGTTTGATTTTACAGTCAGTGGATGAGTTGCCTTCTAGGTGCTGGGACACAGCAGCCACAAGACTGAGAGGGTTCCTGCTCTACGGCTCTAATGTTCACAACACGGGGAACAGGATCAGACCAAACACACAACCAGAGTTCTTTTTATACCAAAAGAAGTTAAGAAGACAGGAAAGGCTGGGCGCGGTGGCTCAAGGCCTGTAATCCCAGGACTTTGGGAGGCCGAGGCAGGTGGATCACGAGGTCAAGAGATCGAGACCATCCTGGTCAACATGATGAAACCCCGTCTCCACTAAAAATACAAAAAAATTAGCTGGGCATGGTGGTGCGTGCCTGTAATCCCAGCTACACAGGAGGCTGAGGCAGGAGAATTGCCTGAACCCAGGAGGCGGAGGTTGCGGTGAGCTGAGATCGCGCCATTGCACTCCAGCCTGGGTAACAAGAGCGAAACTCCGTCTAAAAAAAAAAAAAGAAGAAGAAGAAGAAAGGAAAACAAGGGAGGATAAAAAAGTCATTTGGAGTGGAAGAGAAGCTGCGTTGAATAGGCTGGTGGCTGAGAAGCCGAGCCTGCCCTGGGCTGGGGCAGCCAGGCAGAGGATGATCAGCCAGGGCTGAGGTCCCAAGGCAGCTGCAACCTTGAGGCTTAGAGGAAGAGACTAGAGACAAGGAAGCCCAACATCAGAGTGGAAGTGGGGGCAGGAGCATGTGGGTGAGGAATCTGCCTTTTATTATAAGTTGGGCATTCTCAAGGAGGGTAATATCACCCTTATGGGTAGTGGGAAGATAGATATTCACTCTTAGAGGAGTTAGATAGATAGATAGATAGATAGATAGATAGATAGACAGATAGATAGATAGAGATATCTTTCTGGCTCAAGCCAAGATAAACAGCCAGTATATAAACTGTATCTTGTATTACAATTCATAGTCAGGGTTTGAGAGAGGGCAGGATGAGTAAGATGTCTACAGAAGCTCCTCAATGGGGCCGTGGTGGAAAAAAGGTTGAGAAATGTTGGCCTAAGCTGACAAGGCAGTTCTCGGAGATTCCAAGCAGAAGGTCACAAGATCTGAGTCCCACAGGCTGCGGCTTCCTTGAGCAAATGTTCCCAGGCAGGCTGAGCCTCTAGGCATCTACACAGGGCATGAGAGGCAGCGACCCCGGCCTGTCGGCCACAGCACAACCCTACCTCCTGCAAGTCATGTTGAAGTTAGTTCAAGGCTGGGAGTGAAGTTCAGCAGCACCAGACCCACAGCTCACATAGAGCCAGTGCTGGTCTGGATTCAAGGGCAGGGGGGAGATGAAAGAGAGGACAAGAGTCCCAGGGATGGAGGTGGGGGTGGCTTTCGGGAGCCTGCAGGAATGGAGCTTGTGGAGGAGCTCAGCAGACAGCTGGACCTGCCACCCCAGCTCACAGCTAGCACAACAGCTTGGTCCTTACAGGATGGAAGGGGCAGTCCAGACTTGCCCACTGGGGGCTCCCTGCATGCACCTCATATGGCATGTCACCCCTTTGTGGTGTTAAGTACCACAGAGGTCTGGCCCTAAGAGATCCTCCCTCCAGCAAGTCAGCAAGCTGGCGCCAAGTGGGGTGGGAATGAGAGGTCGCAGCTCGCAGAGGCAGGTGCTTGTCAGGAGCCGAGAGTGCTGCCCACGACTCTTCTCTCATCCTCCCAGGAGCACCTCGGCTCCCTCAGCTACTCCAACTCCATCAGAGGCCGGACGTGGGGCCACCCTGGCCGAGTCACTGTGCGGCACAAGGTGCCTGAGCTGAAGTTCACCTGCAGGGTGGATGGCCCAGCTACAGTCGAAATCATTCGTGGGGATGACACCCTGATGGAGGGTGCTGGCTACACTGTGTCCATATCCTTTCTCCAGTCCCCCGAGTCCCAGCATGTGGGAGGCATGGTGCCCTACTATGCCAGCCAGAGGAAAGAGGTCTTCCTCCAAGCCACGCTCCACAGCCCCGATCCCAGCCTGAGGCTCTTCGTGGATACTTGTGTGGCTTCTCCAGATCCCCATGATTTTACAACCATCAAGTATGATTTGATCCGGCAGGGGTAAGGAAGATGAATGGCCTTCTGGGGTGGACTATTATATTCACCTGGCATGCCTTTAGGGAATCTGTGGCTTCTCAACTGATATTCCTACATTAGAAATTTGTGCAGAGTCCTCACTGTGTCTCAGAGGCAGAGTCGGAGCCCTCACCATCCTCTGATCCCAGTTGAGGACAAATGGTAATAGGCAGGCAGTTATAGACAGCTTTCCTTAATTCCTCACAGTCCTGGGGAGGGCCCTGGTGGCCCTGGGTGGGGTCTGCTGCATCACCCCACCCTTTCATGTCCATGCCTCCTTCCCTTCTAGTCGTATGACTTCAATGAACTCCCCATTCATGGTGCAAGCCCACGACATTGGCCTACACTGATGAACTAATGGGTTATCCCAAACTAAGATCTTAGTTATACTTGTGAGACTTATTCTGGCCCCTTTGGTTAACCAAAAGATTTGCTAAGTTAGAACTTTGGCCAAGCACTTGCCATTATAGCTCTCTTGTCCCCTAACAGGGGCAAAGTACAGTTGGCAACAAATCTGAAAACAACAAAAATCCATCACTTACTACTCAATGGCAGCTTTAGAGTGGTGAGAACCACAACAGCCTGAAGTCTGTGGAGAGCACTGTGGTGCTCATCTCCAAAAGCCAGGGGAGGGACAGGACACGGCACCTTCCACGGGCAGTGTGAGCCATGGTGTGAGAGGTGCACAGAGGTGGCACTAAACTGCATTGAGCCACAGAATGAGAAAGCTCTACCCTTTCAACCCCCCTTATAAATCTATCACCCAAGAGGCTCAGTTTGGTGCCAGAATTTAACAACTGACACTTTTTTTCTCCTGCTTGCTTCAGTCTTAATTTGTTCCTCTTTCTCTAGTTTTCAAAGCTTAGACTACAGATTTTAGATATTTCTTCCTTTCTAACATGTATTTTATACATTTCCCTCTAAGCCCTGCTTTAACTGCATCCCACAAATTTTTGATAACTTGTATATCCATTTTCACTTAGTCCAAATGTTTTTTAATTTCTCTTGAGATTTCTTTGACCCATCGTTACTTAGAAGTGTGTTGTTTAATTTCCAAGCATTTGGGAATTTTCTTAGAATTGTCTGTCATTAATTTTGAGTTTAATTCCACTGTGATCTGATAATGTATTTTGTGTTATTTCTGTTCTTTTAAATATGTTAAGGTGTCTTTTATAGCCCAGAATGTGGCCTGTTCTCATGAATACTCCATGTGGACTTGAGGAGAGTGTGTATCCTGCTGTTGCTGGATGGAGGGCTCTATAAATGTCAATTGGATGTGGTGGATTCAGTGTTGCTTAGGTCATCTGTATCCTCACTGAGTTTCTTCCTGCTTGATCTTTCAGCTACTATTGAAGGGGTTTTGAAGTATCCCAACTATCATGGTGGATTTGTTGATTTTCTTTGCAGTTCTATTGGTTTTTGTTTCATGTATTTTTGGCTCATGTATTTTGTCTCAATGTATTTTGTCCCAAAATACATTGAGACAAAACTGTGTTACGTGCTTACACATGAAAAACTACTGTGTCTTCTTGGAGGACCAGCCACTTTCTTGTTAGATAATACCCGTCTTGCTACCTGATAATTACTGTGCTCTGAAGTTTGTTTTTTTCTGAAATTAATGTAGCTACTCTGCCTTTCTTTTGATTGGTATTTGCATGGTGTATCTTTCTTCATCCCTTTACTTTTAACTTGTCTGTGTCTTTATATTTAAAGTGGGTTTCTCATAGGCAATAGATAGTTGGGACTTGTTTTTTAATCTACTCTGTCTCTAAATTGGTATGTTTAGACCATTCATATTTAAAGTGAATCTTGACATCGTTGGATTAAAATCTATCATCTCGGTAACTGTTTTCTAATTAGTTGCATTTGTTCTTTGTTTCTCTCCTCACACTCCTTTTGCTGCCTTCTCTGCTTTTAATTGAACATTTTATGTAACTCATTTTATCTCATCTTGTTGCATCAGTTCTTTTCATCATTTTTGGGGGGCTGGTGGTGGTTTCCCTAGGGTTTACAGATTTACATTTTTAAATTATCTAAGTTTGCCTTCAAATAAAACCACTAACACTTTTAATCTCTCTTTGCACAAAATAGAATAGACCTTTTGAAGGCAAGAGTTTTACCTGGAATTTAATTACTTTGTTTTGTTTTTATTGTGTTTATTTTCTAGTTCCTTTCCATTTATGGCCAGGAATAGTGGTTTTTCCACTCATAGTACTGTTAAAAAGTTTATTTATGAAACAAAGAGTGGGTAGTGGGAAGAACTCCATTTGCAATTCAGAGGTCTGGGTCCATGCCTGATTATCTGGGTTACAGTGAACTCATATCATGCTTTAAGTTAATCGTTTTGTCCTGGGGTTTTTCTCCCCATCAGGTGCATCAAAGACAATACCTACGTCAACCTCCACCCCCGCCAGAAGAACATGGCTCAGTTCAAGTTCAATGCCTTCAGCTTTCTTGACAGCTATGATGTCGTATATTTACAGTGTAAGGTTGCAGTGTGCAAAGTGGGGGATTATGCCTCTCGCTGCTCCCAGGGCTGTGCAGGGCAGAGTAGGAGAGGTGCAGGCCCTGTGGAGTCCAAGGAAGAGCAGACTGAGCATTTCCAAATGGTGGGGCCACTGGAGATCCGCAAAGCCACTGCTCAGAAGGAGACTCTTGAGTGATTCATGTGAATCTGTAGAAAGCAAAGTCTATTCCTTTTCAATAATGTTTGAAAAATCAGAAGTTATCCGTGTAGAGACAGGTCAAAGAAAGAGCCAGACAGGATTGCTTCTCTAAGCTTTGTTACTAAATAAATCTACTCTGATTACTAAACTTCTAAGGCAATTACTCTTTGCTGGCTACAAATATTGCATTTTCTAATTCTTTACTCTTAAGAACTTGATCATTGTCTTAAATTGTAAAAAATGTTACAAAGAGCAGGGTTATCTCTCTATACCCCATTTCCAATTTAAAGATTGTTTTTTGAAGTTGACTGTTTAATCATCAGATGCTATTACGTGGATCTCTGTTTTTGTCCTCTGATGGTATGAGAATTTATTTTCAGCTCTTGGCAAGAGTCTTATGAAAAATAAACTGTCAGGAAACCACTACTCATTTTTTAAAACTCTAACTGGTCAGTTGAATCAAACATGTCATTTACTTATCACAACAAGCTTTAATGATTTTGTTTCAATGGGAATAAATCGGGCCTAGGCTTTGTTGTGTTTTGGTTGTAGCTTGCAAATGAAAGGCTAAAATAAAATCACAGGAGCCACATGTCTGCTGTCTGAGCTGCTAATGCAGGGCAGGTGAGCTCCAAAGTGGAGCTTAGCCTGCAAGAGTTCTTTGCTTTGCCCAGGAAAGAATTCAAGGGCAGACTAGAGGTAGAAGAAAACAGTTTTATCAAAGAGGCAACATTATAGCTCCAGCAGTGTTATAGTTCCATTACTGCTCCTGCAGAGCAGGGCTACCCCATAGGTGAAGAGTAGCAGCTTGGGGCAGTTTTGCAGTTATATTAATATTTATACTCACTTTTTTTTTTTTTTTTTTTTTTTTTTTTGAGACGGAGTTTCGCTCTTGTTACCCAGGCTGGAGTGCAATGGCGCGATCTCGGCTCACCGCAACCTCCGCCTCCTGGGTTCAGGCAATTCTCCTGTCTCAGCCTCCTGAGTAGCTCGGATTACTGGCATGTGCCACCATGCCCAGCTACTTTTTTTTTTTTTTTTTTTTGTATTTTTAATAGAGACGGGGTTTCACCATGTTGACCAGGATGGTCTCGATCTCTTGACCTCGTGATTCACCCGCCTCGGCCTCCCAAAGTGCTGGGATTACAGGCTTGAGCCACCGCGCCCGGCCCTATACTCACTTTTGATAGCATGCAGATTAAGGATTAGTTTATGGAGAAATTTCTAGGGAAGGAGTAGTAACTTTTGAGTCATTGGGTCATTGCCATGGAAAAAGGCAGTAACTCCCAGGTGCTGCCATGGCAAAAGTAAATTAACATGGCACACTGGTGAGCATGTTTGATTGAAAGCTGCTTCCACCCCAGCCCTGTTTTAGTTAGTCCTCAGTTTGGCCCAGTGCCTGAGCTCCACCTCTGGAGTTGAATGCTGCCTCCTACTTCACCACTAGGTGTTTGTTTGGCCGTGTTCTGAATCCATTTCCCAAATCCTAACAGCATTTGGGAAACCTGAGAAGTACACACAAAACCTGGAAGGCACACAAGCAAAGATTAGCTTATTCCAGCATCCTCTCAGAGAAGGAGAGCAGTATCCACTCTCATCTCTCTTTTTACCCTAACAGAAAGAGACCTGTGCTAGACTCACTATCCCTGAAGGTGTCTTTACAGAAACAGACTTGAACGTAGTCAGATTTGTATTTTTGCTTGTCAAGAAATACTCAGTAACAATATTTAAAAGATGGTCCTCATCTCCAAAGACCAGTTCCCCTCTTTGTCAGTAAATGGCGTGCACAGGATGGGACTACAGTACTGTCCAGTCCCCAGGGAGGAGGAAGGCAGTTTTTGGTAGAGCCTGGGAGCTAACCCTGAGATCCTCAGGGTTAAAAATCTGACAAATGACCCAAGGCAGGGGGTAGCCTATGAGCAGAACATCTATTTCATTACAAATTTTCCCTTCACCAACAACTGTCTTGGTAAAATATACTGTTATATATTTTAATGACGTTCCCTGCTTATACGTAGAAATTAATGAAATATAATTACTGGCCAATTTGGTGAAAAGGGTATCTTTAAATCAGAGTTAATTATTTGTCTGAGTAGCTTTAACTTTAGTCACATGAAACAATGATTTTAGTATCTGATGTGTATTTCATTCAAGTACTTCGAATGAATAAAGGAGCTTTTCCAAGTAATTGTAGGCTGCTAGAGTTTCTGCTTTCAAAATCGCCTGCCCATTAACTGTATTTACTTATAGCCCATAACATGTTGAGGAAGTAGAAGCTAACAGCTACCAAAAGCTAGGATTTTATGATTTTTAACAAATCCCTAATGTGAAAAGTGTTCACAATGAAAGAACTAACATTTTAATAAACAAGGGTCCAAATGAACTTCCAGATCAGTTCCTCTTGGTGTGTGGTTCAAAGAATGGGATCCAGAAAGCAACCTTCTCTGAAAGCATCCCAGGTGACTCTGGGGAAGGCTGAAGTTTGAAAGCCATGGTTACTGTTCAGTGTTCCACGTCTCATGGATCAAATGCACTTAACAGGGAAAAAACACCAAGGGTACAGACCAAAAAGAGCCAAGGAAAGCCTGCCCCCTCTAGCCAAGGGAGCAGCAAAGGAGCAACCTAGCAAGACAGAAAATACTTAAATGAAAACTGTCCTGCTCTAGCTAACTGCCATGGGAAACGCTGTGGCCCCACCTTCATCCCGGCCAGCAAAGACTGAGTGGAGAGCCTGGTCTTCTGCCCTCCCGTAACACTCCTCTTCCCCTCCCTCTTCCAGGGTGATGTAAGAGAAGGCAAAGCAGGGACTGGGATGCTCAGCACACCAGGCAGTAATGAGACCCTTACCTGCAGCCCTCAGGTCAGGCTCAGACCAGGTGGGGAGCCTAGACTTCCATTTTTACCCCTACTTGGAAGGGATGAAGCACCCTTTTATTCATTCTATCCTGGTTAAAGGAGGCCCAGTGGAGAGCCAGGACTTTCACCCCAGCCCAGCAGTAATGAGGTGACCCCATGCACCTCAGGAAAGCAGAGGTAGCCTGGATTCCTCCCTGTCCCACCCCTCTGATTTGCATGTGCCTGATATTCCATTGCCAATCTCTTCGTTTTTAGCCTCTCTGAAACACTTTGTTAAGCAAGTCTCTTGAATAGAACGTAGAGTTAGATTTTGCTTTGTAAAATATTCCGAAAATCCATCCTTTTTAGGTGAGTAGAATGACTGCTCTAGAGTGACACTCAGACTTCCCCTCAGAGAAAGTCACTCATTCTCTAGGCTGCTGGGAGCGTTGGCAGCTGGTGGCTCTCAGTGCCACTGCTCACCAGGAATTTCCCTCAGTTCAAGATAGTTTTCTAATCTGAGTTCACAGCCCCACCACTGTCAATGACCGATTCACAGAGGCACAGAAAGGTCTGAGCATCGTGCCTCAGTGTGGCATCTCTGAAGGGCAGAGCAGCCCTAGGACACCCTGGGAGAGTGGCTGGGCCCTGCTACTGCAGCTGCTTCATCCTGCACCGCCTGGTCTTGCTTCCCTCCCAAGACACAGAAGCTGATCCTGAGCACACCCCCGAGGAAGCCTCCTGTACACCAGCCTCTGTATCAGAGTCTGTTTCCCAGGAACCTGACCTATGCCAGGTGAGGCCCAAGCATATTAGAAGCAGATTCTAGAATGGAATTTTGGAGCTGGCAGTGAGACTTTCTCACTGGTGGTAACTGGAACATGGATGGCTCCCGACTGGAAACACATTATCTTTTTTTAATCCTCACCACATCCCCGGGACAAGTGGGTGGGGGGTGGTAGCTGCTACCAACCCATTTTAAATTGCGGAGGCCAAGGCTGAAGGTGACCTGGCTCATATAACCCACCAGATAAGTGCGAAGAACTAGAACCAGGCTACTCACTCAGATCTAGGAACTTTTATCACTTTTCTGGAGTCCTTCCTAAAGAAAGAAAATGTAAATAGTAGCACACATATTGATAATGCATACACACTGATATTGGAGATATACCTCAACAGCTCCACTACAAATGATTTTATGATTCATGGTAATATGATTTTACACCATCTAGTGAGTCACAGTATTTGATCATTTTCTTAGTATTACACTTCTGTGCCTGATATGCCTCTGAATCCCTACCATGCTGGCCAGCAGAGAAGGTCCAGTCAGTTCCTGAGAGAGAGATGGCTGAGGGTGTAGCCAGATCAGACTGTTTTTAAGCACTTGCCCTAATTTACTCATTCTAATTAAATGTTTAGGGGTTTTCTTGTTAGGTTAAAAAATAACTTTGCAGTCATTCAACTTAGACTACCTGGACGAACATAGAAGAGAGTCACCACATGGCTGTCTGAGAAAGTATTAATATTTAGGAGATCAACATGGAGATATTGAAAAGAATATGGGTAAGATCTGTTGTGATTTGGAACTGGAAAATCAATCAATGTCCTAAAGGCTTGTTCTGTGAGGGTAGAGAGTCTATCACATCATTGCTCATTCTCTTTAGCATCCTGTAGATGCAATGCCTGTTTAGAAGAAAGGAGAATGCCTTTGGGCGTTCAGGAATAATATGCTGTTTGGATGCATATTAGAACCTGAGACTATGTGTGTTGTTAGATGATGAGAGAAAGTTGTGTTGATCATCTACAGTGATTAGATTCTGTTTTCATGAGTAAAATCAGTGCACACTGGGGTCTTTAATCGTGTTTGTTCAGCCACAGTAGGTGGAAAAGTGTTAACTCAAACTGGCTACTCTTTGAGGACAATGAAATTCGGGCTTTGGTGCTTGATGGTGAAAAGGAAGAAAAATGTTATCACATTAACCAAGAAATGGTATGAAGTCTCCCATTTTATAGTCACGTTTGTCTATCCGAAGCCCTTTCCTGAAATGCTTACAGTGAGAAACGCCGAGGCTCTGCATGAAAGCAGGACGGCATGTGAAGCCGGGAGTCTGCGGCTCTCCTCATGCTTTAGTTTCAGAAATTCTAACTTTTGATGTTTCAAAGAGGAGCATATTTGTATCTAAAAAATAAACACATCTACCTTTGAAGGCTATTTTTCTTAAGTAAAAATAGCCTTTACCTTTCCACCTAATATTTGGTTAAAATGTTTTGTATTTATAAAAAGAGGTGTTGATTTGTAATTTTTTTTTTTTTTTTTCGAGATGAAGTTTTGCTCTTGTTGCCCAGGTTGGTGTCTAATGGCACAATCTTGGCTCAATGTCACCTCCGCCTCCCAGGTTCAAGTGATTATGTGCTTCAGTTTCCCGAGTAGCTGGGATTATAGGCATGTGTCACCACACCTGGCTAATTTTTGTAGTTTTAGTAGAGATAGGGTTTCACCACGTTGGTCAGGCTGTTCTGGAACTCCTGACCTCAGGTAATCCACCCACCTTGGCCTCCTGAAGTGCTGGGATTATAGACATGAACCACCACACCTGGCCTCCTGTAACATTTTTTTATCTTTAGTTCCTAAAATGAGAGCCAACTGACATGGTATTTATTTATTTCCATTGTCCTGTAACGAAACATGCTGCCACAGTGACATGCAGGCCTGTGTGTCATTTTCAGGCCCTTCCTAATTTATTCATAATATATGTAGCCAAGAGGTAGCATTTCCTTTGGCATCCTGGAGAAATGTATCTCACTTAGGGCTGGACCTGTAAGTTAATAG